CTTGGAGTTCTATAATTAAATATAAATATGTATATATTTATAATATACATATATTACCTAATACATATTACATATGTATTAGGTGTAAATTAAACTAACTTAGATAAAAATAAACAAGTAAATATATAAGTAAATAAATGTGTGTATATATATATATTTATTTATTTATTTATTTACTTGTTTATTTTTTATAAATTATCTAAGTTAGTTTAGTTTACACCTAATACGTAATATTGTATTATTTGTAGCATATGTTTCACAAATACATACTTACCAAATCACTTTGTAATCGAATACATTTATTGAAATTTTTACATTCGGAACAGAAAGTAAATCAAAAACGGATGAAAACGATAAAAGTATAGCGTAGCTACTTTCGATAAGAATATGATTAAATCAGACCTCTACTTCCCCCATCTATTCTTGTCCTTCCACAGTTTCCCGAGTTTTCCTCTGGCGCGTTTCCCTCTCTTTACTCATATTTCCGTTCCCGTCTGCTCGTGTTTCTTTCGCAGGCCCAGCGAGCCACTTTCCACGCTCGAAATACGAGCCATTCAGCGATTAAGACCGGTGTTACGTTTTCCAAGAGAATTAAACGATCGGCCGCGAAACAAAAGAGCCTGGGCGGCGCGGCGTGTCCTGTAAATCGCGAAGTGCCGCGTGAAACGGAATAAACTCGAAAACGGCCGGCGACGCAAGAAACGTGACTTGTTGCGGCGCCAGGTGGTTGGTTCGCTTTGCTCCGGTCCATTCATGAAATTCGTTTTTTCTTCCGGCCGGTAATTTCATTCACGGAAGTTCCCATTGTGGCCGGGTTATCCGCCTCGGCCATTCGGCCCGACGCGACACGGATCCGTCTAGCGGGCGGCGAGTTCATTTGCGAACAGCATGGTTCGCTGCCTCGCGAAATTACGTCTTCACGCTGCTCACTGATCCCGCTTCCGTGCGTGTCAAATAGTAATCGTTTGAATGTCGCGGTCGAAAAGTGTCAGACAGCTTTTGTTTCGTGCCGGAGAATATGATAGCCCCAATTTAATTAATCCTTTTAGTGCTCCGAATGAGCTTTCCAGTTTGCAACTGGACCACGGATGTTTCTGCAAAGAAAATAAAAACAAATTTTCTGAATCAATCCCGTAAAACAGAGAGAGAAATCAACTAAAAATTATATATTTCTTCCATCGATGATTTCAATGAATTGAAAAGAATATAAGAATATTCTGAAATTTTTCGAGAATGTCTTCATCGATCCGTATTTACCGTACCCAATTTTACCATAAACGCATAAAATCCGCGGTCTAGTAATAACGACGGTTAAGGCATGCGTTGAGATGATCTGAATGTGGAGTCAGTTTTATTCTACGAACTTGAGGACTTGAGAAACCTGGCCAGGCCTCGCCTTTACACCATCTACTTCACTTTTACTTTCGTTCTCCCGCAACTACCTACTCGTTTCCTATTTTTTCCTTCTTTCTTTTTTCCTCGGTGACCTACCCAAGCCTTTTATTAAAAGCTGCTACAAGATTAGAAAAAAAACGTTCTTGGAGCTACTGATCTTAAATATACGTAGAGTCTAATTTATACGTGGAACAACACTCACGCAATCTCTTTGCCAAGTACAGCATAAATTAAATACAACATAGAATCAAGACTTCGACTTCTTTAGACTAGAACTACCAAACCCGTCAAAACGACTGGTTTCTGACTTTTTCTTTTACAGTAGTCATTTTTGTAGTCATTTCAGTAGTCGTGACACAGGTGTTACTGGATTCGTTTTTATCCATATAATGATAGAAATATGTAATCGCATTAAAAAAAGCCAACTTTAGAATCTCGAAAAAAATATGACCTATAATAAAAAAAAAAATACATATTTCTACCGTAATTTGTGTCCCTTCGAACTATACGATCTGTTCCTCTAGCATTTTTAACAGTTTTAATAAAGCACCCGGTATACAGAGTTTGCGCAATTTGGCGTTATTAAATCAAATTAGCAGTTTCATGTATGAATAATATAAATTAGAAAGATGCTTTCATAAGAAATGTGATTCGATAACACCATCTGGGTATACAGAGTGTCCGAAGTTATGATATTTTCAGGAAATGGGAGGTTCCTGAGGTTATTTGAAGTAACTTTTTCCTTGGCGAAAATGCAGTCCGCGGCTTCGTTCACGAGTTATTAACGAAAAACAGTGACCAATGAGATGCGAGCTCGGCTGGCGCATGGCCGCCAAGCCAACGAGCCGCCGAGCCAACGAGCGGCCGAGCCAACGAGTCGCCGAGCCAACGAGCCGCTGAGCCAACGGGCAGCCGTGCCAACGGGCGGCCGAAGCCCAATTTCGTTGATTGGCTCGGCCGCCCCGCGCCAGCTGATCTCACCCCTCATTGGTCACTGTTTTTCGTTAATAACTCGTGAACGAAGCCGCGGATTGCATTTTCGCTAAGGAAAAAGTTACTTCGAATAACCTCAGGAACCTCTCAATTTCCCGGAAGCACCATAATTTTGATACACTCTGTATACTGCAATAACAGATGGCACAGATTCTAAATAGATTGTGTCCTGTCATCGACAAAGATCATTTGTGTCACACTTAATGCCTCGTAGTTTAGTGTTAAGCGGTCGATCATTCCGGAAAGTCGCAGCAAAATGAATCAGCTGTCGCTAATCGAGCGCTTTCTTTCGCAGGAGCAAGAGCCGCAGCGTGGATCATGGATTCACGACGCCTTTCGATTTGGATTCGTTACGGAACAAGGTCGAAGGACGCTTCGAGTCCGTCGACAAGCTATCGAAAGGTGAGTAATCCCCCACTGGAAGCGTCTCGTCTCGAATAAATCGCGGAAGCTTCCGCGGAGCAGGAAAAGAGACCGGATCGCCGGGCGGCCGTGTAGATCGCGATCCAGACGAGGCTCGAAGGCCTCGCGATCGCAGGCGCTAGGCGCTCGTCGGCGATCCGCAACCTTACACGAGCGAATCGCATTGACTTACTTTCCTTAAAGTGGCACAAACGCCGCGACTGATCGATGGTTTCGCGCGCGACATTCGCACGCGAATTCACCGGCGTGGCGCGCCGTGACGCGCCGGTTGCGCATCAGAAATCGATCAAATCCTTCACGGTAAGATCTATCGGCGCGACACGGAATTAACGACCCATCGACGTTCTTGTGCTCGATGCGTTATAATTCAGACACGGTGTACATACATCAATCGAAGCAACAACCACTGCAGTTCATACACGTTGCTGGATGGTTTATTCGTTTTGCGACAAAATTCTTGGTGGTTGAGGTTTAGGATCAAGGCTAGGTTTATTATTTATTGTTATTACTCATTTATTTGCTGGAGGAAGACTCCTTTTGGAAAACATACAGAAAGATTACAAATTAACTATTTAGGAGCCAAGAAGGCGACGCACGAAATGCATAAAAATTGGAAAATATCCTTTTTAGGTTGCGGTTAAGAAAACATCAAGAAGAACATTCTGAACGTAATTGAAATTATTTCTGAATAAAATTTGCAAACTTTTAAAATTCCTTTTTAAATATTATTTATTTTCTGATCGTACGGTATTACTATAATGACACAGTTTTAGATAGAAAAGGCAAGAGAATGTATAAAGGTCATAATAATATTTTTTTAACGGTTCGAAGTGATTTATATAATTTTGAAACGTTTAAATATGCGACGGGTATCGAATTGAAAGGCACAGAAAATATTTGCGACTCGTCATTTCCACCTAAGGAGTTCAAGTATTTTGATCTGTTTATTGCTTTGACGTAAGAAGATTAATTTGCTTCGACTAGATTGCTTATTTCGCTAACAGATGGACCGGGGTAAAATTGGTTTGCGATTAAACGTGTCGCGCGAGGTCTCAGAGAGCTAACGGAGAAGGTTTGTCAGAAATTATGCGACTTTGTTCGCTATCGTTTCAATGAAACCATGGTATGCGTCGCTTCTTGAATGTAAAGGATGAAATCAGTTTTTAGAAAAATTTGAATATTATCTTTTTCATGAAATGTCTCAAGATTTCATAGTTTCTGGATATATTTTATGGGTTGACAGAAATTCGCTCTTCTGATATTCTAATTTCGCGCTACACTTGTTCGACAAGCGAACTGATGCAAAGAAAGAGAGATAATGAGGAAAATGTGTGGAACATATTGCTCAGTCTACTTCATGCCGTCTGCTATCGAAGAAGCTTATTATCGTGGAAGCCACCATGAGGATTTCGCTATCTAAATAATATATATCGATCGATACGCAGCAGATAAGATACTTGTTGCGGAGCGGTGTGAGAAAGAAGCAGACGTTGAAAATTGTTCCCTCTGCTATGTATTATAACGCTCCGAATGTATTATGCGATCTTCTTAGCTCTACGAATTTCAGTTACACAGAATACCAAGAAGCGTAAAGAAAAAGTTACCGAATCAATTTGTCCAGTGTACATAAAAATCCACTTCAGCCTCTCCAGTTCGCTAAAAAATTTGTTTCGTGCATTTGTTAAACGTATGATCTAACTCAGATTTTATGTTAATAAGTGACATTCGCTAACAAGACCTGTGAAAACGGATATCGAAAGATCGGTCGCTGCACGCGAATCTCTGATCGAGGATTTATCGTGGCAGGAAGGGCAGTGTCGCGCGTATTTAGTGGGATTTAATGAGTAATTAGGCCAGTACAAGCCGGCTCGCTTTAATAATGTAACCGGTTAACTGCGTTCACGCTCGATGCACTGGCAACCCGAAGCGCGATTAATCACTGACCGATGAACTATCTCTAATTCACCGTGATTCGCGTCCCGCTCGAGTTCACCGGGAATATATCGACGCGTCTTCGAGAACACGTGAAAGAGAAGGTGTAACAAGATTTCGCCTCGGACTCCTCTCTTACAAACTAAATTTCGAAACATCCCGGGAAGTTAAGGCGACGTTTCAAACATCGTTCAACTTTTAATTACTCGCACGAAGTATGTACATACTTACAATTCCGAAACTTCACATTTATTATATGAAAGCGCGGGCAGAAATCTCGCCTAGCTTCGTAACTACTTTTTGAAGAAGTTAGTCTAACTAATAAACTAGGGTGTAAACTTTATGGATTTATGACGAAAACGGGTGAGCAAAATACGCAGAGCGCGGCGAAGATACTAAAAGAATTTGAGAATATTGTTGCATTCTGTACAATCCGTTCCGGTTCAAATTACGGTTTCATGTTTTCGCTTTAAGAAGCGTTGAAATTATGAAGAGCCTTTTGCAGGCAATGGTTGAATAAATTGATGAATTCAAGCATACGGTTCAATGGAAACAGCAAGGTGTCTAAATAAATTCAGTCTTGTAATTCTTGTAAGACAAAAATTAAAAGTCAAAAATCTTTGATGCTCGATAGGTTTAGTGTTGGAGCTATTAAAAAAAAAAAAGAAATGCACTCCTATTTGTTTCCCGCTTCTTGCGTTTGATGCAAACGATTTTATATTTTGCAGAAAGATCTGCAGTCTTCCAATAACAGATTTAACACATATAATTCTATGCGAGCAATTGTGCAAAAATGAGAGCCGTGCGTTAAACAATTTTAAACGTCTATAATGTTAACAAAATTAATACGGTCGTATTTGATAGAGTCGCTAGAATTTTCCATTTTTCCATTTCATGGAAGAAGCGTTCGAACAACTTTTGCAATTACAGCGGAACGAAATCTCAAGGTCAAGCTTCGGTATTAATTTCTTAATTTATTGGATTCGTATATATATTGGGTTGGCAACTAAGTAATTGCCGATTTGTTCAATGAAATAAAAAATTTTTTTACTTGGAACGAAGTTTAATATGTAATGTATTTTCCATTTTGTTCGATGACCTTTTGCCACCTCTCTGACAACTTGAAAATTCCACGCTCGTAGAAAGTCTGATCCTTTTCGGCCGAAAACTGAGTTAAGTGAGATTTTACAGCGTCATCATCGTTAAAAGTTTTACCACGAAGGGAGTTGTCCAGGGATCGAAATACGATTGACCAATTCTGGTCGCTTTTCCTTGACCGCTGCATTCAATTTGTCCAGTTGCTAACATTCACGGATAATAAAAAATAACATAATAATAATAATAATAATTTTAGAATATAACATTTATACGGATATTATAAAAATGGGAGTGAGAGACATCTATAACTGAAATCGGCAATTACTTAATTGCCAACCCAATATTTTATCAATATTTTGATGAAAGAATACAGTAGTCGTAACGCCGCTATCAATCGAAAGAGGATCGCAGGCTCGAAGATCCAGAGACAGACGATTCGTCACGGCAATTAAGCATTCCTCAATGTTTCATTAAGGGGTCGCGATATCAGCGTTAATCTGTCCCGGTATGCGGCGTTGAACGGGCAGAGATTGCCACGAAAATTTAGGCGCCGCTCGGTCCCGCGGCATTTTATTAAACGCAGGATCCGAGTAACCCAGATACGCGTGTTGTGCAGCCCTGCGCGCCTTTAATGGGCGGCCAGGATTTGCCAAATGACGGTCGCTCGAATTCCCGGTTGTCCGTGGAAATTTATCTAATTACCGGAGCCAGAGCAGTGCCGGGGAGATCGATGATAATCGGGGAATCTGTCGGACAGTTTTAACTCGGACTGCGGACCCCGTGGCGGCCGGTGANAAATAAAAAATTTTTTTACTTGGAACGAAGTTTAATATGTAATGTATTTTCCATTTTGTTCGATGACCTTTTGCCACCTCTCTGACAACTTGAAAATTCCACGCTCGTAGAAAGTCTGATCCTTTTCGGCCGAAAACTGAGTTAAGTGAGATTTTACAGCGTCATCATCGTTAAAAGTTTTACCACGAAGGGAGTTGTCCAGGGATCGAAATACGATTGACCAATTCTGGTCGCTTTTCCTTGACCGCTGCATTCAATTTGTCCAGTTGCTAACATTCACGGATAATAAAAAATAACATAATAATAATAATAATAATTTTAGAATATAACATTTATACGGATATTATAAAAATGGGAGTGAGAGACATCTATAACTGAAATCGGCAATTACTTAATTGCCAACCCAATATTTTATCAATATTTTGATGAAAGAATACAGTAGTCGTAACGCCGCTATCAATCGAAAGAGGATCGCAGGCTCGAAGATCCAGAGACAGACGATTCGTCACGGCAATTAAGCATTCCTCAATGTTTCATTAAGGGGTCGCGATATCAGCGTTAATCTGTCCCGGTATGCGGCGTTGAACGGGCAGAGATTGCCACGAAAATTTAGGCGCCGCTCGGTCCCGCGGCATTTTATTAAACGCAGGATCCGAGTAACCCAGATACGCGTGTTGTGCAGCCCTGCGCGCCTTTAATGGGCGGCCAGGATTTGCCAAATGACGGTCGCTCGAATTCCCGGTTGTCCGTGGAAATTTATCTAATTACCGGAGCCAGAGCAGTGCCGGGGAGATCGATGATAATCGGGGAATCTGTCGGACAGTTTTAACTCGGACTGCGGACCCCGTGGCGGCCGGTGATCCCGAAAAATTCGCAACGACACTGACGAATCGCGCCGGCAAGCGGTGCGCATTGTTGGGAATAATGCTCGGGATAAAAGACATATGATTCGGAAGAGATTCAATTATTCGAGTCCGCTTCGAAATGGGAAATGGACAGGGCGCCGTGGTTATGCTGCTGTTCAAGGATTTGCATTTGCGAATCTGGAATTTCCGAGGCGTGTTTGAAATCACGATATGAGCCGTTTATTTTGAAAGTGGCATAAGTCACTTTTTCAAAAAAATCGAGTTAATGGTAACACTAATTACAATTGA